GGTAACTGTGATAAGTATTTCAAAGCCCAAAGCCAGATACAGTTTCACTAAACTTTGGCAATGTCACTATCTACTTTGATTAGATGTTGGTGAAGAAAGACCAAAAGAGCTATCAAAAACTTTTCAGATTTTTACTTCAGCTTCTTCTGCAGTGACCTGCAATGACCTTAAGTCAACAGCGTCAATTATGGCCCAAGGAGATGCTTTTGGACTCATTGATGAGATTGGCATTCAGCTATTGAACTTTTGCTGTTTTCTGCCAAAGAAATGGAGCTGTTCTTCTTTCCACTACTTAGCTCAAAGCTCAATACGGTATTCAATTGGCAGTTAGCTTCCCCACCCCGTCCCCCATTCTCACATCTGATCTTTCTAATGCAGTGTTTCTCAACCTTGGCAACTTGAAGATGTCTGGACTTCAACTCCCAGAATCCCCCAGCCAGCATTCGCTGGCTGGGGAATTCTGGGAGTTGAAGTCCGGACATCTTCAAGTTGCCAAGGTTGAAAAACACTGGATTAGACACACAAGGAATTTGTTTCTGGTGCAGAAGCTTTCGGTGTACATGCAAAGCAACAGAACAATGATAATCATAATAATACCAATAAGAGTGGGGGGGTAAGAACGATGGTAAATAATACTACAGCCATACTGTGTAGGTAAATACACATACTATAGCCATACATCTTGGGTAAATACAGCTGGCTGAGGAATCCTGGGAATTGAAGTCCACAAGTCATAAAATTGCCAAGGCTGGAGACCCCTGGTCTATTCCACACAGTGTCATGTTCCATCCATTAGAGCAAGGGTCTCCAACCTTGGCAATTTTAAGACTTCTAGGAGTTGAAGTCCACAAGTCTTAAAGTTGCCAAGGTTGGAGACCCCTGCATTAGGGCATAATACCTAAACCTTCCTTTGAACATTTTTTCCCCGTCTCTTGGTGACTTTTGAATTCCAGATACACTGGACACTACTTCATTACCACCCTCCTCTACTCCTTTTTCTTGGGCTGCTTTGGAGTGGACCGCTTCTGCCTGGGCCACACAGGTACAGCAGTGGGGAAACTGCTGACTCTCGGAGGACTCGGCATCTGGTGGTTTGTGGACCTGATTCTTTTAATTACCGGGGGACTCATGCCCAGCGATGGGAGCAACTGGTGCACCATTTACTGAAAAGCTTATCATTTTGGTGGCTGAAAAGCTTATCATTTTGGTTGGACTTAATCCCAAGCAGAAAAAGAAGAGGGGCAGCCTGGCTGACATGACCTACTGCTTGTGATAAGATCCATGAAGACCAAAGAGACTGGAGGCGGTGTATTTATTTTTTTTCCCACGGAACTGAGACGGGGGTTGAACAGAAAAAAAAATGCCAACCACAATTTCTGAGATATATACCTCATTGTTTCAAAGTTGTTCTTCTCCTTACGGGAAGACTACATTTATTTATGGATACCATGCTGTTTTCGACGTGCCGTGCTCCACTCCCGTATTTCAGCTTGTGCCATGGTCGTTTCTGTAGATGAGTCCCCAGCGCTGGGTTCTTGTTGCTGTGAGTTCAGAAGTTTTTATAATCATTCCATGCGGCTGGAATTTGCAAGGTTTAAGGCCGTACTAAAAGATGGTGATGTGTATTTGCTTTCAATTTTAGGAGAGTGGCACTCTCTTCCCCCTTAGAGTGCAAGCAAGAAGTCCCTAAATAAAGCCCCTCTTTATGTCTTTGTGCATAGATAATCTCCAACAATCCTTCTCCATTCTTAAATTTCATTTTACAATGCAGGTATGGAGAAGCAAGAGTTTCTTTAGGTAAAGTCAACCCCAGCATATGCTTGCTAACTGAACAAGCAGTGTCCTTCATCCTTTAAAGCAGGGGTGAGGGACCATGGCTCTTTTATGACTTGTGGATTTCAGTTCTCAGAATTCCTGAGCCAGCCAGGAATTCTGGGAGTTGAAGTCCACAAGTCATCAAGGGCATTGGTTTCCCTCACCGCAGGGGTGAAATCCTCCCAGTTCAGCCGAACCGGTAGGGACGATTGTTAGTTCTGCGAACCGGTAATAAAAAAAAAAATGCTTTTGAGGATCACACGGCTCAGCTGTGAGCCGCGCAATCGCTTTTTCCCCATTTTTAAAGCATTTTTTTCCTGCCAGTTTGGGCAAATAGGCAGGGGAAAAATACTTTAAAAAGCTATTAAAAAAAAAAAAAGCTTCTGACGATCACGTGACTCACAGCTGATTGAAGCTTTCTTCACTTTTTAAAGCATTTTTTTCCTGCCTATTCGCCTGAACCAACAGGAAAANCAAATTTAGGTCTATGTTCTTGGTTTCCTATTATAATTATAATTATAAAACTGCCCAAAGAGCTGCTGATTCAGTTCTACAAAAGAATTATTGAGTATGTTAGCTGCACCTCCATAACTGTCTGGTTTGGCTCTGCAACCCAACAAGACAGACACAGACTTCAATGGAAAATCAGAACTGCAGAAAAAACAATGGCTACCAACCTGCCTTCCATTGAGGACTGTACACTGCACGAGTCAAAAAGAGAGCTGTGAAAATATTTGCCTCCTGAAAAAGCACCTTTGGGACAACCATGACCTGGATGACTGAGAATCTCTATAGATTTTTAGCTACACAATCTGGGATGAAGACCCTTTGGAAAGGTGTGGGAGTAGGAATGGATTTCCAGAGAAAAAAATTGCAGACTACAGGAACCATTTGCACCACTCAGGTGACCCTGGGGACACAGATACATCCAGTTAGAGCTGAAGAAGCTTCTTGGATGAGAAGCGAAACGTCTTCAAAAGAAAGAAACCAAGAAAGTTCAGTTGCCTCCTGAAAAAAGCACCTTTGGGACATTCATGACATGATGGCTGAGAATCTCCACCACTCAACTATTTGCACCACTCAGGTGATCCGGAGGATACAGATAAACGTTCCACTCATTGTTTTTCAACCTTGGCAGCTGGAAGAGATGTGGACTTCAACTCCCACAATGCTCCAGCCAGCAAGGTGTGGACTTTGACTCTCACTTTCAGCCAATGGGGGTGGGAAATGCTCTTGAAACACAAACTTTCTCTTCCTTGACTCAAAAGCTTGGATAGGATTTCTTTACATGTATTCCCATGTAAGTCTGTTTTCCCCCAGCAGCTCCAATCTTGCTTCATCCAACCCCCTCCCCATAATGCTCCTGGACCCCATAGAGAGAGGGGACTTTGGCACCCTTTCTGCATTCACACGAGAAACGAAAGCAAAGCCTAACACCGAAACCCACCTCCATCCAGACATCATAATCAAAGGGGCTTCTCCAAATTAACTTTCTCCTGGGTGAAACAGGCAGCCCCGGAAGAAGTTCCGAGGAGGGGGCCAGGAAGGCAGCGGAGACCCCCCCAATCTATTTAGCTATCTCTATCTCTGTCAATCTTTTTCTCTCTTTCTCTCTCTCTCACACGCTTTCTCTCTTTCTTTCTTTCTCTCTTTCTTTCTCTATTTTTCCAACTGCCTCTCTCTTTCTCCCTTTCTTTCTCATTCTTTCTTTCCCCCTCTTTCTTTCTTTCTCTTTCTTTCATTCTCTTTATTTCTTCCTCTCCCTCTTTTCTTTCTCTCTCTTTTCTTTTTTTCTCTTTCTTTCTCTATTTCTCTCTCTTTCTATCTCTCTTTTGCTCTCTCTATCTTTTTCCCTATTTCTCTCTTCCTTTCTTTATTTTCTGTCTCTCTCTTTCTATTTATGTCTCTTTTTCTCGTTTGCTCACTCTCTCTTTCTTTCTATCTTTCTCTTTCTCTCTCTAATTCTCCCTCTCCCTCCCTCTCTCTATATCTTTCTATTTCTCTATTTCTCTCTCCATTTCTCCCTCTCTCTCTCTCTTTCTCTCTCTTTCTCACTCTTTCTTTCTCTCTCTATTTCTCTCTCTTTCTCTCTCTATTTCTCCCCTCACTCTGTCTTTCTCTATTCCCCCTCTCTTTCTTTCTCTCTATTTCTCATGCTTTCTTTCTCTCTCTATTTCTCTCTCTTTCTTTCTCTCTATTTCTCTTTCTTTCTCCCTCTTTCTTTCTCTCTCTATTTCTCCCTTTCTCTATTTCTCCCTCTCTTTCTTTCTTTCTCTCTCTATTTCCCCCTCTCCCTTTCTTTCTCTCTATTTCTCATGCTTTCTTTCTCTCTTTCTCTCTCTCTCTATTTCTCCCTTTATTTCTCCCTCTTTCTATTTCTCCCTCTCTTTCTTTCTCTATTTCCCCCTCTTTCTTTCTCTCTATTTCTCACTTTCTTTCTCTATTTCTCTCTTTATTTCTCATTCTTTCTTTCTCTCTATTTCTCCCTCTCTTTCTTTATTTCTCCCTCTTTCTTTCCCTCTATTTCTAACTTTCTTTCTCTCTCTATTTCTAACCTTATTTCTCACTCTCTCTTTTTTCTTTCTCTATTTCTCCCTCCCTCTCTCTGTCTCCCTCCCTCTCTCTCTCTCAGCCGGGCTGGAAGAGAGCAGGCGGCCTCCATCGAGCTTCCCAACAAGACCGGGGGGGAATGCGGGCCGAGCCGAGCCGTTGGCGGCCGGCCTCTTTCCCTATTTCTCCCTTCCGCCGCCCCCCCCCCGCTCCAACCCCCTCGCCCAGCATCCTCCGCCCAGCCGGGAACACGGGCCCCACCACCGGGGCGCCCTCTGGGCTCTCCTCCCCACTTCCCTGCGGGGAAGCCCACCGGCCTCCTCCCCTGCTCCTACCCTCCGCACCTGTCCTGAGGTTGCCCGTGGCCAGCCGGGAGACGGGCGATCCCCGGGAGTCGCGGGGCAAGGAGGGCTCGATCCGGCCAGGGCGGAATTTGGGGAGGGGGCGGCCGACTTACCGGGCTGCTCGGCCGAGAAGCTCAGCGCCGCCCAAAGCAGCAGCAGCGGCAGCCGGGAGCCGCGGGTGCTCGCAGCTGTCCGCATCCCCGCCGGCGGAGCGGAGCTCGGGGCCGCTCCGGCTATGGAGGCTTCCGAGGCGGGCCTCCCCTGTCCCGGGAGCCACCCTCGAGGAGGAGCCGTTGACTCCGCTCTCCACCCCAGCCGGCCACCAACCCACCCACCCCCGGCGGCTTAGAGGATCTGGCTTAGCCGGGAGAGAAGGGAATAAGGGAGTTGTAGGGGATCTTGGAGGTCTTCTAGTCCCCCTGCTTAGGCAGGAGAAAACCCCATACGACAACAACCAGTCGTTCTGGTTTGACTCATCAGAACTCACTTCTGACCTGATTTGGTTATCCGTGGAGCAAGTAGATTCGCTTAATGACTGCATGACTCACGTAACAACTAGAATAGAATAGAATAGAATAGAATAGAATAGAATAGAGAAATAGGATAAGAATAGAATATAATAGATATTGAAATATAGAATAGAATACAATAGAATAGGAAAAGCGAATAGAGAAAAAGGATAACATTAATAGAATTGAATTGAAATAGAAGAAAATTAGAATTGAATTGAATAAATAGAATTGAATAGGAGAGTAGAGAAATAGGAGAAAATTAAAAGAAAAGAATAGAATAGAAGAATAGAATAGAATAGATATTGGAATATAGAATAGAATACAATAGAATAGGAGGAAAGAATAGAGAAATAGGAGAAAATTAATAATAGAATAGAATAGATATTGGTATATGGAATAGAATAAAATAGACTAGGAGGAGAGAATAGAGAAATAGGAGGAAATTAATAGGAATAGAATAAAATAGAATTCTTTATTGGCCAAGTGTGGTTGAACACACAAGGAATTTGCCTTTGGTGCAGATGCTCTCAGTGTACATAAAAGAAAAGTTACATTTGTCAAGAATCATAAGGTACAACACTTAATGATAGTCATAGGGTACAAATAAGCAATCAGGAAACAATATTAATATAAATCATAAGGATACAAGCAAGAAAGTTACAGTCCTGCAGTCACANGAGGCAAAAAAAAAAATTAGATTTCACCACTGCCCCACCCCTAAACAGTGACATATCTTCCCCTTCACCTTAAGAGAGAATTGTTGGAGACTGATTTTTTAATACAAATCAGTCATTCTAAAAATTAAACACAGCAGCTCTGGTTCCTTAATCAAATCTCCACATTTAGAATCCAGCCACTTTTTGGAAATATGCTTGGAAGGAATATATTGTCAGCAAAATAATCCTTCTAATAGCGATTGCATGCAACAGGAGCATGCAGGTTGCCCATTTCTAGTCCGTGACATTGTATGGCAGTTGATATGAGGTTTACCTTTCCAAAGCTGAAATCAAAATGTATTCCTTTTTGTAGTATATAACAGTACATGATGGACAGCTGAAGTTTCCCTATGTTGTATAATAAGAGTAAAAACTCTCAAAACTGTGGGATGTGATGGGTGTTCTTTGTAACATTTGAGGTGCGTTTAAAAAGGAGAGCCAGTCCGAGGTGTTGTGTATTTGTCAATATTGCTTTGTTATCCATACAAAAGCAATCAGGAATCAGTGCTGCCTATAGATTCCGTTGTATTGTCTTATTTCCCCCCCATTGAGCCTACAATACGTCCAGAGCCAATGTAGAACTTCAGAAACTGAGTCATATGAGGGTTTTTTTTTGGGGGGGGGGGGGGGGTTTCTGTTGTAACTTGGAACAGTTGCTCAGTGAGGAATTGCAAGCTCTATTATAGATTATAAGGTGAGTGGTGTGGTGGCCTAGAGGTGGAGCTGTCACCTCATAATCAGTAGGCTGTGAATTTAATACAATACAATACAATAGCAGAGTTGGAAGGGACCTTGGAGGTCTTCTAGTCCAACCCCCTGCCTAGGCAGGAAACCCTATGCCATTTCAGACAAATGGCTATCCAACATCTTCTTAAAGACTTCCAGTGTTCCGGCATTCACAACTTCTGGAGGCAAGCTGTTCCACTGATTAATTGTTCTGACTGTCAGGAAATCTCTCCTCAGTTCTAAGTTTCTTCTCTCTTTGATTAATTTCCACCCATTGCTTCTTGTTCTACCCTCAGGTGCCTTGGAGAATAGTTTTGACTCCCTCTTCTTTGTGGCAACCACTGAGATATTGGAACACTGCTATCATGTCTCCCCTAGTCCTTTTTTTATTTAAACTAGACATACCCAGTTCCTAGGTAGAGGCAGATATTTCTCTCTCTAGGCACAATGAGAATATATCTGCTGGGGAAAAAAACTCCACAGTGGTGACAGGAAGAGCATCCAGCCAGTAAACACTCAGCTCCATTCAGTTACCCTGACTTCACCCCGCAAGAGATTTTAAGGGGTCGTTAAAAGATTATTATAGACCACTTGTGCCAATACTCTCTTTTATTGGTATCTGGCAAATGCTGGGCGTTGAAGTCCGTCTTCAAAGTTGCTGAGGTTAATTAAATGCTACAAGCCAAGCAGAATGAATTGGTGGAAATTCCCATTTTCAGCATAATTTGTGCAGCTGGCAGGCTGGCCATTCATTCTTCATGGAATCAGTCCAGACAAGCTCCAGTTTGAAATTTTAATGTATTTTAAACTGGAGTTTGTCTGGATGCACGCGCACACACACACACTCTGTACTTATCTGAATATCTATTATCTATCCTCTATTATATCTATCATCTCTATTATATCTATCCTATTTCCCTGAAAATAAGACCTCCCTGGATAATAAGCCCAATCGGGCTTTTGAGTGCATGCGCTAAAATAAGCCCCCTCCCCCCCAAAAAATAAGCCCTCCCCCAAAATATTGCAACACAGCAGCAGCCATGAGGTGACCATGCTCGCTGTCTCCTGCACCTCAAAAATAGGACCTCCCCGAAAATAAGGCCAAGCACTTATTTCGAGGGTTAAAAGAAAATGAGACCCTGTCTTATCTTTGGGAAAACACAGATTCTATCTGAATCACTGAAGAATCTTCGTCCATCTTTGCCTCTTCCCCTCTTGATGTTTTTAAAAGAAAATATCACACCAACATCTTCATGAAACAAACTCTTAAAAGACATGTAGCCAACCTTATTGTTCTCCTAATATTTTATTGCCCTGGTAGGACAAAAGGTCAAAATGAATCACTCCGAGTCTCTGAAATTTTGCCCCTCTGCCCATACAGCAGTGAAGAGCCTATATATATATATACATTTCACAGTTGTGTTTATTTCAAGGCAGAAACATACAGTATATGAAGAAAAGAAAAGAAAAACCAGGCAGATGCACATAAGATTTCAGTCAAGTTTGGTCAATTATTTCTTAAATGATTTTTAGAAAAGGCAAGGTGTTGTTCTAGAAATTCTGCTACCCAAGTGGCAAGAGGTACAATTGGAGGAATTTCACCATGAGCTCCCCGTACTTTCCCTGTTGATTCAAGGCCTACAGGTGAAAGTCGAAAAATTAGAATATCGTTGTTTGTTGTTCAGGAGNCTTTTACAGCCCTCTCTAAGTGGTTTACAGCCAGTCAGCACATTGCCCCAACAACCTGGGTCCTCATTTTACCGACCTCAAAAAGGAGGGAAGGCTGAGTCAACCTTGAGCCGGTCAGGATTGAACCCCTGGCTGTTGGCAGAGTTATCCTGAAATACTGCATTCAAATGGATAGGTTGGAATAGATGATAGGCAGGTAGGTAGGTGGGTGGATGGATGGGCATGGAGAGAAATAGTGAGAAATTGAGAAGAGAGATGAACCAGGTAGGCAGGCAGGCAGGCAGGCAGATAAGAGACAGACAGACATGGAGAGAAACAGTGCGAGATTGAGAAAGAGAGATGAGATAGATAGGTAGGTGGATGGATGGATGGATGACATGGAGAGAAACAGTGAGAGATTGAGAGAGATATGAGACAGGTAGAGAGGTAGACAGACGGACAGATAGATAGGAAAGAAATAAAAAAAGGAAGGAAGGAAGAAAAGATAGATATGATAGAAAGATGATATAGGTAAATTAGATTATAGGTTTAGAGTTCTCTAAGCCCTCTCTAAGCAGTTTACAGAGTCATCCTCTCGCCCCCAACAACCAGGGGCCTCATTTTGCCGATCTCAAAGAGGATGGAAGGCTGAGTCAAGCTTGAGTCAGTCAGGATCGAACTGCTGGCAGTGGGCAGAGCCGGCTTGTATCATAACCACTGCGCAAACTGTATTGACAGTTGCAGACCATAGACACTTACAGTGAGCCTCCTCTTCACGTAGCGGATGACCAGGAACGTATCATGTTCCAAGTTGCGCACGATGGCCGTGCAGCCCCCGAGTTCAGTCGGCCTCCCGTCCCTCTCATGGTCATAGATAAGGGACCCGTTGGTGACCATGGCCGAGACGTACGGGAAGACACGCTGGAGAAGGAATAGAAGGAAGAGACCGTGTTGCCATTCGCCATGCTAGTTTCACACCGGTTCACATTCAACAAAGAATGGAAAGTAGCATGCGAGGAAGGATGAAACAATGAAGCCGAGCTGAAGAGGCCGAGACCAGGATGAGGCGTGTTGGGAAGCAGCAAGGCATAACTGAGGACCAAATAATTCGGCCGGATGGTGACAAAGTTGCCAAGCTTGAGAAAAACGAACTTATAGTACTCTCTGATTTTACTGGTTCCAGCAATATGAAGAGTCTGAAATGGAGGGAAACTGGAACTAGAAGCCCCTCCAAAAAGCAAGGAAAAATGGTTAAGCAACAGCCCTTAGACCTATATACCGCTTCACAGTGCTTTACAGCCCCACCCTAAGTGCTTTACAGAGTCAGCCTCTTGCCCCCAACAATCTGGGTACCCATTTTACCGACTTCAGAAGGATGGAAGGCTGAGGCAACCTTGAGCCAGTGAGAATTGAACTGACGAACTGCTGGCAGCCGGCAGTTAGTAGAGGTAGCCTGCAGTACCGCATTCTAACCACTGCGCCACCATGGCTCAGGTGCCCTGTTGACAATAGCAATAGGACGTACTGCTTCACAGTGCTTCGCAGCCCTCTGTAAGCAGTTTACAGTGTCAACCTATTGCCCCCAACAATCTGGGTCCTCATTTTACCAACCTCGGAAGGCTGTGTCAACCTTAAGCCGGTCAGGATTGAA